AGAACAAAATAAACCTCATAAAGATTATGAGGTTACCTTTATGAGATATTTCTTTTTTTTTCAGAACTGGGGATTGAACTCAGGCCCTTGCGCTTGCCAGGCAAGTGCTTATTCTACTGAGCCATCTCCCCGGCCCTTTATGAGATATTTCTATTACCAACCAATACTACTATACTACTATTTAGAAGTTTCAGTACTTCTGTGATTAATTTTCCTTATGTTCTTACCATGAATGATGATAATGTCCACATTTGCTGGATCAAGAGAGAAAAACTAAGCTGAAGAACTTGCTTGAATATTTAACAATTTATAGCCCATTTTCCTTGGATTAGTGTTTTCTCCAATACTTGTTTAGCACATATATACAAAAGATTCCTTTCCTCTGATTTCAAAGCACTGAAACAATAGAGATTACGTCAGATATTGTATCACAGACTTCTGTTGAAAATTATGCAGTTTTATAATAAAAGTATTTCTACAGAAGACTGTGGGATAATGTTAAAACACAGAATATTTTATAGATTTATTAGTAAATGGTGCTCATTACACAAATGTCTACAAAAAATACTTTATTGTAATCCATTCTTGTCTATCTGAAATTAACCTTTATACAAAGGGTAAACCATTCAGTACCTATAATGTATTTATCTTATTACATACTTAGAACTTGGCATGAAAATAATCCTTACAATAAAAAGCCAGGAACTCATACATAACCATCTACCAAAATTTCCATTTGAGCAGGCACAAACTAGATCAACTGTATTTGTTTTAAGTTGGTTATATTTCTAAAATAAAATATATTCACTCAAGTGGAAAACTTTCCTCCTTAGAGATTGGATTATTAGTAAGTGTCACATGTTTCAGCAACAGTACAAATGTATCAACTTGGATGAGTCTCAGAAAATACAATGTTGACTCAAAAAGCTGCCAGATATTATAATATAATGTCACTTATGTGAAGCTCAGGAACAAGTAAGCCACCTACAAATAGAGTAAAATCCAAAATGGAAAAAGTAGGGGCTTGGGAGATAGCTCAGTAGACTAAGCACTTGCAAAAAAGGGCCTGAGTTCAATCCCCAGTTCTGAAAAAAAAAAAAAAAGCAATTCTGCAAAATGGAAAAAGCAAATACTAGATTTTAAAGATATTTATCCTTCCATGCATCAGTTTAGTTTCCTGTCATGGTGCCATCTTGGCAATCTAGTCTTTGCAGTCATAAAATAACTCAGTTTCATATGTGCACTATTAAAAACACTTGTTTTCGAGTTGTGAACTATCCTTCTAATTGAGGGTTTCTCCTCTCCGGGGACCATTTGTGCTAGAACAGTTTCCCTCTGCTGTCCCATGCCCTTGCCAAAGTGCTCTCAAGGAGACTGGCTCTCAGAGCTAATTCACATCCAAATTCGCCTCCACATTTAGGAGACAAAGCACATGTTAACATATTCTACTGGCCTATTATGCTGTCTGGGGGCAAAACCTTTCCTGCTTTGGCATCCCTAGGATTTGTGATCCTCTCTACAGTAAGAAAAGTCTCCTTAAAATTTAAAAATATGCTTCTAATATGTGTTCTAAAGCTTTCAGTCACTTGGAGAATGTCCTAAAGCTTGCTTCCTTCTGATTTTTATATGTTTACCTGTTAGCAATGGAGCAGATTCTAAGTCCATCTTGTGATTCTCCTGTGTGGGGAGGGAAGGAGTCAAACAATCTGAAGGTGGTATATCTAGGACAGGAAGGGGCCAATAGTAAATAGTCTAGCTCAGTGGTGGCAAACCTATGGCACACATGCTATTGTGTATTGTAGAGGGATTTTTTTCTAAACTACAACTTCAGTATGTATGTTTAATTGTAGTGCTAGCACTTTGGAATAAATGAGTGGGCTTTAGGTTGCAATTTGGCAGTCGATTTTTAGCAGGTTCCTCACCACTGTTTTAGCAGGTTCCTCACCACTGTCTTTATTGCATATAGAATCCAAAGGTGTGAATCACCATTCCTTGTTAAGAAAAAAATGTTACTAAAAAAAAGAAAAAAAGAAAAAAATTGGGAAAAAAAATCATTTGGTGAGGGTCTTAGAAGAAATAGTCACCAGGTGTCAGAGGGGCAGAGACATTCCCAGCAAGGGCGTTTCCTGTGCAAGAGTACAGAAAGGTGACATAGCCCTTTGTTTGGCTGGAGTGAATGATGAGGTTACTTACTAAATTGGGATATGGAGTGCCTTTATCAGCCATGCCAGGGTAGCTGGACTTCTATAGCTTGGAATAATGCTTTTCTTTTCTTTCTTTCCTTTCTTTCTTTCTTTCTTTTTTTTTTTTTAATGTATTTAGTAGGGGATCTACAGGGTCTCACTATACAGATCCAGCTCATAGTAATTCTACCTGTTTTTCAGCCTCCCACGCACTGGGATTACAGGTGTGCACCACCACACCCAGTCTCATTCACTGTCTCAGCGCACCTGGGGCTGGCACAGCAGGCTGGGGATCGAACCCCAGTCCCTGTATCTACCTAAGCAGGTACTTTAATCTGCTGAGCTATCTGGTGGCCCTTAGAATAGTGGTTTTCAAACTGAGACTAGCTTGACAGCAAAGCTTTTGTGGGAGCTCAGACTATAAAACAGATAATCCTAAAGGTAAGTAACTTTAAAGGTAACTTCCACTTAAGAGAAAACAAGAGACCACATCTTACTGTGCAATAGCCTGAGAAAGGGATCTATCTGATGGAGCAATGAAGAGTTTTAGGATAGGAAGCCATACTCCGGTTTTTGTATTCAGATCATATGAGGCAGGTTCTGAGGAAGGTGCCTAGAAACAGGATCATGTCTGAAGATCTCTGCAGATGTACAGAGAAGAGGCACTGAGGATTATCCTGGAACTAGGAGGAAAGCAGTCATGGGGGAAAGCACATTAAAGAAAACAGTTCAGAGCCTGTGTCCACAATTCAGATTCCGAGGGGAAGTGGGAAAAGCAGCCTGAAGTCACTCCCATTTTCCTGCCTAGGGTGCTGAGTGAAGATCATGTCATTATCAAGGAATGGCAACAGTAACCATGCACTGAACTGGCCTCTTGCTAGCTGACAGGGTGCCTTTCACCTATATCACCTCATCCGTTTACTGTTAGTCATCTCCCAGTGCTCTTATTGTATGACTTTTCCTCTTAGCCTCCAGTCTCACCAACCTAGAAAGCTCTGACTTTGTTACTAGGCTTCCTTTATAAAACTTTTGCTCCTTGGATCTCTTTGACACTTGTTCCTCCATATTTTTCTTTGGTTCTTCATCCTCCTCCTATCTTCAACCTGCTATCTTTTATTTTATCCTTGCATATATACCTATTCTTAGGATTTTTAATGATCTCAGAAAAAAAGATTTTTCTCTCACACACTATGTCCCGTATTTTGAACTTCAGTATTATGGTTTAGCTCTCTACTCAACATCAATAACTAAGTGTTCATCAGACTCTGGGTTTAGAAATTGAGCTAATAATCACTGTCTTCTGTTTCCCTTAATGACTACCTTTATCATTCACTAACCCTCAAAGCCTTAAATTATATTTGAATCTTTCTTTTACTTGTACCTGATCATTTATCAGTCTGCCTGTTGCATTTTTGCATTTTTGAAACATTTACCTTGCTTCCTATTTGTTGCCACTGTTCATGTTTAGATTCTTACTGCCTCTTCCCTAAATCTTCTCAGTAACCGTTCACCTGTCCCTTTTCTTTAGGATCTGTTCCCTCCCATCCCAGTCCATCCATCATAGGTATTCCTGCCCATGTGCTCCTTCTAACATGTATACTTTTTTCTCCATTGTCTAAACGTGTCACTAGGCCCCAACTGACAGTGGAATAGAGATCATTCCCTTCTTCTGGAATTCAGAGTCACAGTATCTTAACACAATTTTACTAAACTTTCTTACAATTGGGTCCCGTCTTACATGCTACTTTCTAGATAAATTATTCCTGATGTTTATATACTTCCTGTGACCTACTTCTAGTCCTTTATCGTGAACTTCACACCACTTCCAGCTCCAAATATTCCGAACACTGCATCATTGCTACAGTCTTTCCCATATACTTGACATTGCAGTAATCCACTTCTCCTTTGTACCTGTAGCACTTTTATCTCTGTGGCCCTAATCACTCCCTGTATGCTGCACACATACATTCTTTTCCCCCAAGAAACTGAATTATTTCAGGTCATGAATTATTCCTGTAACTCTTTCAGCCTTTCTCATTTTGCATTATATGATTAATTTATCTAAAAGTAAATAATATGATCTTATAACAACGCAGTCAAGTAAATGGGGCAAGTAACAGTCCCTTTCAAATGTCAGGTCACAAAGCCTGAGAGATTGCCTAAGGCCCATTGTTCTGCAATACCAGAACTCTAGCTGCATTGTAGTTACATGTGATTTTTCAGACGTTGAAACCGAATGTGTTGCGTTGTACAGTACTGCCTCTCTAGCAGCCTGCATCATGCAAGATAAAAGACATGATAAGTAGAATAAGAATTGTGTCCAGGGAACTGGAATTTTACAAAAGCCCCAAGAGTATACTTTTCTCGCATTTGAAGATAAATAGTCGCATAGTAACCCATCTCTTGATTTTTAGAAGACAGAGAACGAGGGAGTGAGGGAGAGAAGGAGAAAGGAGGGGAAAAAGAGGGAAAGAAAGAAAAAGAGAAACACACAAGAGTTACATGGAAATAGGCAGCATTTACTTAAACCAGGAAAAATATTAAGGAGGAGAAGACAATTAGAAATGCTTCGCAAAGACCAGATCCTGAAGTTGGGACCAGACCACTTGAAAAGACTCCAGTTGTTTTGTAGGTGTGCTGTCAAGAATTGCCAGTCTTAAAGCATGCTGGCACAGAGATTGGAAAGATCTTGAAAACTTAACTGCTTTAGCCTCTACATACTCGCAATTTCTTTTGTGGAAATTATTTTTGAGGAATTATTTTTATTTCTAAGCTTATGTTACATTCTAATAAACTTTTTTTTCCTCCCTTTACCAGAGGAAGAAGAAGAGCAGGTGCCCACCGATGGGGGCACATCAGCAGAGGCCATGCAGGTTCCCTTGGAAGAAGATGATGAATTGGAGGAGGAAGAAATTATTAATGATGAGAATTTCTTGGGTAAGAGACCACTGGACAGTCCTGAAGCTGAAGAGATGCCTGCCATGAAGCGACCACGACTGCTAAGCACTAAAGGAGACACCCTGGATGTGGTGTTACTGGAAGCTCGAGAACCACTCAGCTCAATAAATACCCAGAAGATTCCACCAATGCTTTCTCCAGTCCATGTACAGGACAGCACTGACCTGGCCCCTGCGTCACCTGAGCCACCAATGTTGGCTCCAGTAGCAAAATCACAAATTCCAACTGCAAAACCATTAGAAACAAAGGCATTTACACCTAAAACAAAGACCAAAACTACTTCTCCAGGACAGAAAACGAAATCACCTAAAACTGCCCCATCACCAGCAATAGTCGGAAGTCCTATTCGTTCCCCAAAAACTGTATCCAAAGAAAAGAAGTCACCTGGACGTTCCAAGAGCCCCAAAAGTCCCAAGAGCCCTAAAACTATGACTCATATTCCCCAACTACCTGTTAGACCCGAAACACCAAATAGGACTCCTTCAGCTACAATAAATGAAAAAATCAGTAAAGACACAGTCCCAGTGAAACAAACACAGAATCCTCCTGATGCTGGGAAACTGAATAACGAGACTCAGCCGAGAAAGGCTGTTGTAACTGATAGAACAATTGATGACTCTATTAATGCTGTGATTGCACGAGCCTGTGCTGAGCGGGAGCCAGATCCTTTTGAGTTTTCTTCTGGGTCAGAGTCCGAAGGAGACATTTTTACAAGCCCTAAGAGAATTTCAGGTTCGGAGTGTACCACTCCAAAAGCTTCCACTTCCTCGAACAATTTCACAAAGTCAGGGTCCACTCCTCTGCCTCTTTCAGGTGGAACTTCAAGTTCTGATAACTCATGGACAATGGATGCCTCAATTGATGAGGTTGTCAGGAAGGCAAAACTGGCAACACCTCCCAGTGTGCCTGCCAGCTTTCCTTATATCTCTTCACCATCGGTTTCTCCTCCCACTCCCGAGCCTCTCCACAAAGTATATGAGGAGAAAACCAAGCTGCCTTCCTCTGTGGAGGTAAAGAAGAAGTTGAAAAAAGAGCTAAAGACTAAATTGAAAAAGAAAGAAAAGCAGAGAGATAAGGAGAGGGAAAAAGACAAAAGCAAAGAAAAAAGTAAAGAGAAGGATAAAGTCAAAGAGAAAGAAAAAGAAGCTGGCAGGGAAACAAAATACCCATGGAAGGAATTTCTTAAAGATGAAGATTCAGATCCCTATAAGTTTAAAATAAAAGAATTTGAAGATATCGATCCAAAAGTTAGATTGAAAGATGGAATTATGAGGAAAGAGAAGGATAAGCATAAAGATAAGAAGAAAGATAGGGAAAAGGGTAAAAAAGATAAAGATAAGAGAGAAAAAGAAAGGGCTAAAGAAAAAGGACGAGAAGATAAGATGAAGGTGCCAACAACACCACTGGTGTTGCCCCCCAAGGACATACCTCTGCCTCTGTTCAGCCCTGCAGCGGCAGTGAGGGTCCCCTCCCTGCTGCCTGCCTTGTCACCGATGCTCCCTGAAAAACTGTTTGAGGAAAAAGAGAAACCTAAGGAGAAGGAAAGGAAAAAAGACAAAAAGGAAAAGAAGAAAAAGAAAGAGAAAGAAAAGGAAAAGGAGAAGAAAGAGAAGGAAAGAGAGAAGGAGAAAAAGGAGAGAGAGAAAAGAGAAAAAGAAAAGGAGAAACACAAGCATGAAAAAGTAAGCAGTTTATCATTTTCGACACTAGCTGAACAAAATCCTAGTGAAAAATACAGGTAAAGCCAGCAATTATATGTGTATTCTGGATGTAAATGACTGGTGCAAATATGTTTGTAATGAGGTTACAAAGTTTGATTTTTGTTCTAAAACCCATAAACTTGTAATGATGCTCATGTATACCAAAAGATATTAAAAATGCATAGTTTAGGAGTTGTCTAATCATAGACTAAACTATTAACTGCTTATCTCTGGAAGTCTTTAGGATCTGTAATCTTAACCTATGAATAATATTTTTGTTAATTATCAAGTCAACTATATATTTTTATACTTACTATTAGATACCAGAAAAAGCATCCATTTTTCAAACTTGTGAAACTACATTCCTCTTTTAAGGGAACAGCAAGGTCCAGGAAAGGACTACTAAGTCTACTTTCTGGAGAGCCATTCTGTGATTTATCTAGAATTATGGGGCTACCTGCTGTACATCCCTTATTCCTCCCATTATATACTTTAACTTAGAATATGTAGGCCAAGTATCAAGACTGACCTAGCGGGCCGGGGAGATGGCTCAGTGGAATAAGTGCTTGCTGGGCAAGCGCAAGGGTCTGAGTTCAATCCCCGGTTCCGCAAAAAA